AAAATCATTTCTACTTGCTCTATAATGCAGTATTCAGTACAGCAACATGCGGAAAAGATAAGTGTGATATCGCTTTCTAACAGCACCATCAAGTCGCATCTAGGACATGCGCAAGCATACTTTGGACGCGGTACTCAATGAGAGAAAGTCATGTCTTTTCTTCGCACTACACTCAGATGAGCGGACCGACGTTGCATCTTGTTCCGAGCCACTTGTTTATGCTCAGTGCATAAAAGGCGACAGTTTCAAAGAAGAGTGCTTGTTCTCAGAATCACTGAGCACTACTACACGACTTGCGATGTGCATCTGTTGAAACCGCACCAAATATGCCAGAAACTGTTTATTCATCACCTCTTGATTTAATGAAAAATTGCTCAAAAACGGGGTTTTTCTTTATTTGCATGGTCGAAAGTAATTACATATGGTATTCATTTTTCCTACTTTAAACCAAAAGGTACATTAGTTATCAGGTGATGGGCCTTTGAAAGTCAGGGTTGCCGCTTATAGTGAATTCGCTTTAGAGGTGACAGTCTCAAAAAGGTTGGGAACCCCTGCTCTAGGACATGAAGTTTAATTTCATCGCTGCAGACACGTTGTTGCCACGAAACGAGGATACCTCCTCAAGCACCCGTTGCCAAAGGTCGAAAGCTGGCGCATTTCATCCACTCGAACTGACCATTACTCATTGCTATTTAGCATTGTTGACCCTGCGCTTTACACCAGTCTGCCGGCGAAATGAACGTAACTATATTATTTCTCTACGTATAAGCATATAGTGCCCCATAACTTGTAGCAAACAATTATCTTTTGTTTTATGCAGTTGCCATCTGTGCTAAGTTCACTATGCCTATAACAAAGAGAACACAAGTTGGTGTATGGAAGCAAATATGTGCTCCGTTATGGTAGATGAAAAATGGTAGTTCCTGATGAGTGAACGGCTGCCAGCGTGAAAAATGTGTGTGCGTATGGTTGCATATAACTTAATAAGTTTATATGCTGCATTCCGACTACTAACACTTAGAAATTACGACGGAATACAATAATATATGCCTTATTTACGAAATTCCGAAAATCGTCAAGTAACGCAAAGTGTCGGAGACCTTATTACTTCCATAGAACATCAGTGCAACTAATTGTTCTCTACAACCTTAAAAGCAGTCAAGTGCGTTTGCATATCAGAAATACCGAAGATTACGAGGCATACAAGAGACGACGAAATCACTTCAACAACGCGACAGCCCAAAGGCGCCGAAACTCCGAAAAGCAGCTTGCAACCGCTGCGAGAACGGCTCCCAATAGGGTCTTCGTCTACGTGAAGCAGTGCCTGAGGCCTGGAGACAACGTACCGATGTTGGAGGCTCAGATGGACAGCTCCTAAGCTCGAGCACAGATGGTACGTCCACATTGGCGGCGCACTTCGGTACTGTATTTGCAAGTGATTAAGTACCTGTACGAAGTGCGATGGGTACCGCCCCTACCGAACTAGACAGCCTGGATTGCAGCATTGAAGATGTATGCAAACTGCTGGCCATTCTTAATGGGATCAAGCCTGCCGGGCCAGATGTCATCCACCCACTGATCCCAAAGTCATTGTTGGTCATCATTTCGCCTTCCGTGACTAACCTGTTCAATAGGTCGCTATCCACTACTGAACGACTGGAAATGATCAGTCGTAAAGCCAATACCGAAAGGCGGTGACCCAAGCATAGTGGATAACCACCGGCCAATCTGTTTGGCCACTGTTTGGGCTAAGTTGCCGGAGCAGGTCGTGAAGAAAGATTTTCTGCAGCCCGTGGTAGAAAAGATCACAGGCCTGCCTTGTAATCCAGTGATCGCTGGTTCGAGCATGCGTAGGGGACCGGGCGACTCTCGCAGTATCCTTAGCGCATGCGCGACTGTTGGTAGTTGCGCGGCAGCGAAGCGTCGGTACAGTGTACCGGCGTACTGCTGATGCCTTATATTTTATTTTCGAGTCGTAAAGCTTATGACGTACGCACAACATGCTTTCATGAAAGGTCGCTCATGCATCACCAACCTGCTGTTGAATAGGCACGAATGATTGCAACCGTTGAACCAAGGGAAGTCGGCCGTTGTCCCTTACATTTACTTCAGTAAGGCGTTTGACAAGGTGAATCATGAGGTCCTCCTCCACAAGCTGAGGACCTTCGGCGTTGGCGGCTGGCTACACTAATGGATCAGGAATTTCCTTGTTGGTCGAGAGTGGAGCGTCCAGGTCGACAGCCATCTAACCAATTGACATCCCTCGACCAGTGATGTGCCCCAAGGTATGAAATTGGGGCCGATTTTGTCCCCGATCCATTTCAACGATCTGCCCCAACTTCACCGGTCGACGTGTGCCTTGTTTGTACATGACTTGAAGGTGTGGAGAGTAGTCAATGCACTCGAGGACTGTGACATGCTTCATCGTGACCTTCATCTTCTCTCCAAGTGGTCTGCAGAGGTCAACTTTCCTATAATCCGGTCAAGTCGCTATTCATGATGTTGTGTGAGGCTGGAAACGCTCGAACCTACACGGTGACCGGTTAACCGTTGTATACCGCGTCTTTCGTGCGAGACCTCAGTGTACTCTCGCGCTGCGACCTAAAGTCCGTAGACAACACGAATAGGCTTTACCAAAACGGACTTCGTATGCTTTGGGCGCCCAAGCGCAGCTTCTGCCATCCGCCTTTTTTGTCTCAGTCGTACGACCAATGCTAGAGTACGGCTCACCTGCTTACTGTCCTATCACCCGGGCAACTTACAAAGTATTGAGCGGGTACAGCATGTGGCCGCCAAGCTCATCCCCACTTTACAAAATGTGTCCTACGAAGACCAATACAAGAGGCTAGGACTTTACACCGTCTTTTCGTCGATCCTCGGTTGATCTCGACCCACCGGATATTACATCTTGGTGATTACCCCATGTTGAGGCGGCTGTTCCGTATGCGCAACCCAAGTGGCACACGATGACACCGGTATTACCGGATTTGGAGCAGGTCGCCCACCAACTCTGTTTCGAATGGAACAACCTTCCGCCGCACGCAGCTGATTCAAAGTCAGTGTCGGCATTCAAGAAGTTCCTGTACAAACACTTTTCCGACATGAAATATCGTGAAGACTCTCTAGCATAATCGGTCATTGTGTCTGAGGGATTTTTGATGCAGCTACACAAAGACATATCTTTTTGCTGCTTCCATCCAGTACGCAGTATACAATTTAGCTGACAGACTGGTGGAACGTTGCCGACCTTTACCGAGAAGGGGACATCCTGATGACGTCACAAAATTTTCCGATTAACAAGCGTCGACTGTGCTTTGACGATGCAGAGTAAAAATTCCTTCCCATTAATACCAACACCAACCCAGCTAGTCAAGGCTATTCACTTGATCAAGCTGCGTATCCCCAAGGATGAGCGCAGAAATAGGCGAGTGCCGATCCTGAAGCGAAACATTCCGTACTTAGATGCCTCCATCGCCAAACGGTTGATAATGTTTTGCATACTCTGCGAGTCGTCACCAATTAAGGCGATATCATTATGGTAGTCTAAGTCGACCGCCTGCTTACCCGATAGTGGCTCCACGTCGAAATTTTGTCAACCTACCAGAGCTGTGGACTGGACATCTTCAGTCGCAAAATCGAATAAAAACAGGGACACAGAGCGGTTCTGTCATACCCTGCTATTGGTAGCGAAAGACGAAGAAAGCTTGCCACATAACCTCATTCTGCCGGTGACATGAAGGTGCAGTGCGCGTGGGATGGCAGTATACTTTTCTGGGGCTACATGGCAAGTAACCCCACAGAGCAAGTCGACCGACTGAGTTGATTGCAGCGCGGACGTCTAGGAAAGCAACGATGGTAGCCCCCTGGCAGTGATGGCTGTGTTCTAGGAGTTGACGAAGCGCAAAGACTTAATCCACACCTTTATGGTCAGAACGAAAGCCAGCTTATTCGTTACGACACCCTGATTCTCGAATCCTGGATAGTTTACGAAGCAGAATGGATGCCAACGGCTTGGACGCAACCAAAACGAGATTAACCCCTCGGTGATTGACGTACGAAGTACAAGCATGCTTCTTAGACTTCGGAACAATATTTGACTCGCTTCAGAAAGAAGGCGCATTTTGGAGAACAATGTAGCTGACTGATGATTACTGCGCCGCCATAATTAAAGGGCTCTGAAGGAAGTCCGTCCGAGCTGGAAACCGTGAATCGACTTAAGTGTTGAATCGCAAGGCAAATTTCCGCTTCACAGGGGGGACGCAGTGAGACGACCCACGTCAGGCACATTGCGCACAAGCAGACGGTGAGGACCAATTAAACTGGGAATGCGAATATTCAGCCCACCGATCCAAACATCTCCCTAGGCTAGCGATGAGCGAACCATCCGTTTCGCAAATAGTCTGACTGATACCTTGTACTCTCCAGGCAAATATTTTACTACATCGACCCCATTTCTATGAAAATTGTCGAAGCTGCTCAGGAATGATTGGCAAAACGTTACTATTTCACGTATTTTTGACACTCTAACCTGACCTTAATCGAAGTATACGGTGAAGATGATGGGTCGGTGTTTTCTGGGACATGTTGGTTTATCCGAAATTCACTCTTTGATATTTTTCGATCACTCGTTGAATGAATCTCACCTACCTGGATAATTAAGTCCGCCCGCCTTGTTCGTTGCAACTCCATGTTGAAAACAGTTTTAGATCTGTTTAGTGCGAATAATAATGACCTGCGTGTCGTCCCTTTCTTTTGTTGAACCGATTGTTTTGGCCATACTGTCAATGAATTCATTTATACATTGTGTCGAATCACATGTCAAGAGCATCATCCTAGTTTTACATGTTTTAGCGACAGGGCGCTATCTCTTTATGAGTTACACAAGATATTTAGGACCTGTACGCAGATCAACTGATTGAGGTTGAGTGACCCTGTGTCGCAATCCATTTACCCTAGCTGCAATCAACAATTTCGTTCTTTTTGTTCACATCATCACTTAGATCGCTGTTCCCCGACCGGCTTGCATCCCATCGAGGACGACCAGCTGACTCCTGGTACTCTCATATCCCGGCTGCCTTCACCAATCACTAGCTCGGCGGTGGCCACTCGTCGCTCAGAGGACAGACGTGCCAAGCAACTGAAAGCGTTGGCTGCTCAAGAGCGTCGTCTGTTCGGTCCACGTAAACAATTGCCCAATGCCTCCACTGACTCTGCATCCGGAGGAACTTCCTCTTCCGCTACTGAAACAGCGACCGGCATTCGGCACCTGGAATGGAGCATGCCCACTCGCCCCATGGCCATTTACTCGCTTCAGATTCACATTCCACATTCTCCATCTGATGGAGGAGCTCTGATTACCGGAACTTGGCTTGTGGCTAGGAAACCACATTTTCTAGACCTACTTTTTGGTCCTCAGGAATGTCTTGGATTTTCCTGCGCTTTCGCTTACGGTGGCCTGTTCCTATTCGGCGGACTATGCGACCCCGACGATCCCACAGACCACCACACGCCATCAAACATCCTACGGTGTCCCGATTCTAATGATCGATCGATCGCAGATCATCTGTTCCACTACACTAACTCACCCACCATTCCACGGGCGTCGCAATTTTTTGTGCTACAACCACTGGCACTCGTTGGAACTCTTGTGTGATCGCACGCTTGCCGTCACTCCTTTCGACGCGAATTGGGGTCCCTTCTTCCTTCACGTGCATCGCGCACGGTATCATGCGCACGAACTGATGGTTCTTCACTCTGTCTCATACGGTGGGGTCACCCGTGTGAATGACACTGATGAGGTTTCTGGTTTAGGACAAATATATGGTATTTGGCAGCCAGTAAAGCCTATTTTAACTTTCATATGCATCACAATTCTCCTCGGTGCTCCGCCTCTTTGTTTACAGATATGCAGCATCTCATTCTTTATCCCATCATTCTCTCACATGGCTCACGCCATTCATTACTTGTCTGTCCACTTGTTCAGTCAATTTGTCTTCGGGTGACCAACTACAACCACTTTTACTTCTTAAGTAACGACACGCTAAACGATCAAGTATAACCATGTCCATTGTTCGATAGCGCTGTTGCACCTAGATTGCCACATATCACCATAAGCTTGGTTTTAATAGGGTGTTCTAGATGACTGATATCTTCATTACTATCGAAGTGAATCTATCCACCTTGAGAAGGTTGTCGTTCCGTGTTGGCCCATTGCTCCAGACAATGCGTGGATATTATACTGTTTCGCTCGCGTGATGTCCATACCGCTACTATCCGATCCACCTTCCCACGAAGGCATCTGAGATGCTTGTAGTGCCCAAATTTGGATGACATATATGCGCTTTACCGTGTTTTAGCCTTGTCAGTCACTTCCGTATGTGAGTTGTTCATCCGAATACTGAAAATATAGAGGCAGCAAAATACACCTGTGTCGCTCCATCGATATATTATGATAAATGATATATTCCTCGACCATGTCAGACACAATCCAATTCTGGTCCGATCATATGTGTACAACGGGATCGCATAAAACAGATGGCCTGTTCGTTAATCAATGCGGTTTATAAAAGAAATCTGAGTAACTGAAGTTGAGTGTACCAGAAAGATTGAGAACTTAGAAACATTACCAAATAGAGACAGTTCAGTGTTCAGGTAAAGTAATACGGCCATCCGTGAAACCGTCTCCTGAAAGTCTACTTCCATGCCAAGTATTCCCTCGAAAGGTTTCAGCCACACTTCGATGCCCCATTCGGCCGTGTTCCGGTCTGGTGTAATAGCATGTGTGCCAGTACCACTTTTTCACATCTTTAGGGCTGTTTATTTGCATAAATTCTGGACGATCAAAATATCCTGCCCATTCTATTATTCGGCTCATTTCGAGCATGGCTATTTAATTTTTTTTAGTCGCCATAGTTATGCTTATTAGCCTCGTAGTTTCAGTCTGTCACTTCAAGAGCTCAGGCTATTCGTGACCAACAACGAAATAAGGAGAAATATAAATGTGAAGTATTAAAACAATATTACTAGACAACTCAGAGCTAGACACGGTCTCTCACACGTGTACCGATCATCGCGTATGAAAACGTTTCACACTAGTTTCACTAGTTTGTTACTGGCGGCGAAGACATATTGTCACTGTTACCACTCGCCCCGTACTGAACCACGACTCTTAGTAGAACGCAATATTCTGTCCGTAGCGCACAACGGTAGAATACGTCAGTTTCAGCAGTACACAGAATGCATTATGTCTCCATAAACACAACGCGTCGTATACGTTCAGACAGTCTAGTCAATGGTTAGCTGGCGTTAACGGACAAGCACTGTCTGGTGGATCCAGTCAATGGGAACACAGTTTAATCGATGCTTAGCTTGGCGTTGGACTGACACACTGCGCAGATGCCACATTGTTCCTCCCTTTAGTTGGATCTACCCCAGGTGGTCTGGTATCGAGCAAATGAGCGGCGACATTACGGAGTTTCCGATTGATTGGTACTCTACACGTCTTCCAACTCAGTGATTGGTGTTGTCGATGCGTCGGCTGGCGGAACCGAGACATGGCGGGGACGGACATGGTCTTTGTGCCGAATGACTACCCTACCGTCTGGTAGAACCACTTCCGTATTTTGTCCCGCGACTTCGCGCTGATCTCCAGGCTGCCAATTCGTTTCGTTAGGCAACTTGATATAAACCGGTTCGTTCTCACAGAGTTGTCGATCGACCGCCCTCCCATCATACTCGGCCTTAAACTTCTTGTCTGGTCTCGGCACGTAGCCTCTGATCGGGAAACAGCAAGTCTAACTGTGTCTTTAACCTCCGCTCGAATCTTAGTTCATCGGGGGCCCTTATCACTCGTTTCTTCGGTATGGAGCGATAACCAAAAAGGAATTTGTCTAACTTTGTTCACAATGGAGCCGGCACTTATTTTCGTAGCCCGTTCTTGACCGTTTGGACCGCCCTTTCAGCTAATCCACTAGAATCTGGGTGGTAAGGAGCCGACTTCACATGACGTATGCCGTTATTTTTCAGAAACTCCTGCAATTTCTTTATAGTAAACACGGATCCATTGTCTGTCTCCAACATGTGTGGTATACCGAAGATTGTAACGCACGTTCGCATGCACGAAACTGTAGTCTCTGACGTGGCTCGTGTTAGCAGAAAAACTTCGATCCATTTCCAGTAAGCGTCGATCAAGAAAATACCTTCTTGTCGAGTGAGCCGAAGAAGTCTACATGTACGCGCTCCCATGGGTTACTGGGCCATTCCCATGGGCTGAGTAGTACAGTAGGGGCGCCTCTTTGTGTGCTTTGACAAGTGTCGGATTCTCTCCAATGTCTCTGTCAATATTGGGCCATCACGCATAGGATCGCGCAAGTCCTTTCATCCCCCTTATTCCCGGGTGAGTTTCTTGCAGCTCTTTTAGAACATCTGGACGCAATCAGGGTGGTATGATCGCTCTGGATCCCCAGAGTAGACATCCATCTTCAAAACAGCTCGGAGCGTCGAATAAATTATGGTAGCAGTTGCCGCTCACGTTTGTCAGGCCATCCTTGTGATGCTAAACGCTTGACTTGGCAAGTAGTATGTCTCGTTCGCTTTCATGACGGATAGCTGCGCTTAGCTCCGAATTTCCCTCTAAATGCTGAAGCAAATTAACCAGTTCGGCGGGTTTCAGTACGCAATCAGGTAACTGATTGAATGATAAGTGGCTTAGAGCATCGGCGACTCCGTTCGTTTTCACAGGAACATATATGATTTTGTAGTTGTAGGCCGAAAGCAGTGAGGCCCAACGTTGCATACGAGGGGACGCCATCTGGTTTATGTCCTTTTGCTCACCGATCAAAGTTAATAACGGTTTGTGGTTTGTACATAATTCAATCTATCTTCCCCAAAGGTATTGGTGAAATTTCTTGACCCCAAAGATAACTGCTAAGGCTTCCTTGTCTAGCTGGGCGTAATTCCTCTCCGCTGGTGCCAAGCTCCTGGATGCAAAAGCTATGGGTCCTTCGGTCATGTCTTCCATTTTGTGAGATAGCAGAGCTCCGAACCCTGTGGGTGATGCGTCGCACCGGAGAGGTATCGGCCTCTGGGTCAAAGTGTACCAACACATTGGCCTTACTTATAGCCAGCTTGACAGCAACGTTAGAATTTTGTTGTTCTGATGACCACAGTCATCGGGTATTCTTACGCAGCAATGCATACAAGGGCGCGACAATGATTGCTAGATTGGACAAAAATCGACTGTAGTGAGTCACTATCCCGAGAAATGTTTACAGTTCGTTAATATTTCGGGGTGTTGGGGAATCCAGAATGTGTTGCTTTTTTTCCCGTAGGGGATGTAACCTATGTTTGTCTAAACGAAACCCCAGTTACTCAAAGCTATAGGATAAAATGACACTTGGATTCTTTAAGTTTGTCCACTCTCTTGGGGGCGATCCAAAACAGTAGTAAGGGCCGCCAGGTGCTCGTAATCCATATTGTCAGTAACCAAGGTTGGCTCAAGTAAGCCCACACTCCAGGTATACCTTGCACCAAATTGTTTACAATTCTCTGAAAGATCGCCGGCGCAAAGTATATTCCGAACGGTAACCGGTTATAGTGAAACAACCCCAAGTGTGTATTGATAGTCGTAACTTCCTTAGCAGATTCATGAAGCCTCATTTGGGAATAAGCGTGGCTCAGATCAAGTTTGGAGAACTTTTGTCCACCCGACTAGGTTGCATAGAGGTCATCTATTCGTGGAATAGGATAGTGTACCCGTAGTTCTCGCTTGATTAGCCGTCAGTTTGTAGTCACCACAAATGTGAATCGAGCCATCTGGCTTTTCTACCGGAACGATCGGTGCAGCCCAGGATGAGTGGCGTACAGGGCAGATTATTCCGTCTTTTTGAAGGCGCTCCAGCTCCGACTCTACGTTCGAACAGGTCACAAAAGACAAGTTTATGTTTTGAAAAATTTTGGTTAATAACCTGGCATGGTGTTGAAATGAGTTTGGAAATCACGTATTTTCTCTGGCAGGTTTGCATCGAAAACAGTAGCAAAAGCTTTCAAAAGTGTAGGCAAATCGAGAATGCGGTCCACGTTTTTGACATTTCGAAATATTTCCGGCATGTGTTTCAACCTATTCCTCCCAAGCAGGTTCGAGCCCTCGGTGTTAACCACGATTAAGGGAAGAGTCAACCTATCGCTTCCATGATTTACCCTCACATCACACACATCCAATACATCGAGCGCCTCTCCCCTGTAAGAACGTAACGTAGACTGAGTCGGTGTCAGAATCAGATCCGGCAATGTTCGTTTGTTGATCAAGGTTACCGGTGCCCCGTTGTCGATTTCCAAGCGCACTGGCTGACCCTCCATGTTCAACTCCACAGTATATGGAGGTATCCTCATGATACGAAATGCGGTAGTGTGTGATAGTAAATACTATATGGACTCGTCAGAGTTTTCCACAGACCAAACAACACTTTGTGCAGGGCGGGGTATCGATCGTTGGTAAACCGTCGAACGACATACACCCGCAAGATGTCCAACTTTGCCGCATTTGTGACAGGTAGCTTGCTTGTGTTTACAGTCATCAGCGTTTTCATGCCTCACCGCATCGGTAGCAAGTAAAAAAACGTTTAACGGTTAGTTGAGGACACGATTTGACAGCGTGAACTGCGTCGGCAGTCTGGAAGGGATTGGTGTACACGGCTAATGAATTCATTAACACCTTCCTCTCCCTGTTGTAACTTGGAAAAACTCAGGCGTGCCTTGATGACATTTTGCCGCGGCCCCCGAAGGCAATCTAGTGCATTATGACTGTGGGATAAAGATGTGTTTTCGTATAAACCTACTGCACTAAAATGCCTTTGACCTACAACAAGATGTCTCAGAAGTTTGATAAATTGGGCTTCAGTAAGATTAATGTGAGGATTTGTTACTGAGAATAGTTCATAATCGCAGTTCTCTTCCAGCTAATCTAAAGCGCTAAAGTTGGCTTACAAGATGCATCCTTCCAAAACGGTTCAGGTGGAATAAGCTGGCTCATAGCAAAGATATCCGAAATTGATCCCCGTCGCCAGTGTTATAACGGTCCGTATTGAATCACGGCTCAGTAGGACGCAATATTCGGCCCGTAGCGCGTGACAGCAGAATACGCTGCCTTCAGAAGTACACAGAATACATTATGTCTACATAAACACAACGCTTCGCATAAGTTCAGACAGTCTAATCAATGGTTAGCTGGCGTTAACGGACACACACTATCTTGTGGATCCTGCCAATGGGAACACAGATTACTCGATAACTAGCTTGGCGTTGGACTGACACACAGCGCAGATGTCATGGGCACATCCAGCGATGTTTCTCAAACCGAGTTCCGCCTAAAACCAGATAGCTGCGTCAACGTTTTCGGCCAAATCATTCTTCAGACGAT